TACCTTCTGTATTCCAGTTACTGATATTTGGAACATAATGAGTTCTCCATAATATGTATTAAATTTCCATTTAATTTTCATTATTGACCCTTAAAATACTGTTTCAAAAAGAAGACTATATACTCTACACCTTCTACAAGTTCAGAGGTTGCTCAGACAGAAATGCACAGTTTTTTTTTAAATGCACGCTATGATAAAGAGATGTATGCTGTTCTGTGCTCAGTTGCTCAGAGTCGTGTCTGACTCTTTGTAGCCTGCCAGACTCCTCTGTCCATGTGGATTCTCCAGGCAAGAACGCTAGAGTGGGTTCCCATGCCCTCTTCCAGGATAGGAGCTATAACTGAATGTCTATCAAGAGGAAATAACTCGTTCTTCCTATGATGGATAGGTAAGGGCATGTCATAAAATATATCAGAGGGAGGTGACCTCAGGAACTGGGTCTTGAAAAATGAACAGATCTCACATCTTCCTAAAACATATTCCTCTTTACTACCAAGGTAATCTCTTTAAAACCTAAAACTGCTTAAGCTTCTTCCCTGCTAAAATTCTTACATGTATTCGCAATACATAAGAGAAAAAAATTCAAAAACTTTAGGATGCCATTCAAGGCACTTTGATCTGACCTCTACCAACACCTGGGTCACACATTAGCCTTTGAGTTCCACATGTGTCACACCCCGATTTAATGCCCCTGAGTCTTTGCACATGGGATCTGTCTTTATTCCCCCCTAAATTCCTCCATGTTAAGGACATTCCTTTCAGATTCTGAACTATATGAAGGCAGGGCTACTGCCCTGCTTAGCTTCATGGACCTAATCTTTGCTATAGTGTCTTACAGACGTGCTTGTCAAATTAAGAGAAAATGATTTGTCTATAAACTACAGAGGTGCACAAAGAAGAAAGACTAGAATAAAAGAAGAAAGACTAGGCCTGTTTCCTCAATGCAGAAACATCTAAAAATAAATGCTGTAAAGGAAATTATTTACAAAACAGAAAGAGACTCACAGACACAGAAAACAAAACGTATGATTACCAAAGGGAGAAAGAGTAGGGGAGAGATAAATTAGGAGCTGGAATTAACAAATACACACTACTATATATAAAATACATAACCAACAAGGACCAATACTATATAGCACAGAGAACTATATTCAATATATTATAGCAATCTACAATGGAAAAGAATCTGAGAAAGAATACGTATATGTATAATTGAATCACTTTGCTGTATACCTGAAAAGTTGTAAATCAATTATACTTCAATTTAGAATAAATAAAGTCTTTAGAAATTATTCACAATAAAAAAAAAGAAGAAGAATGAAGCAGACGAACCTTTCGTAATAAGAAAAGGGGAGAGAGACACAGTTCCCAGGGTGGGTCTTCCAGCCTAATGGAAGTCTCAGTTCTCCCTTTAATTTCTGAAGAAATATTTGGAAATGGGAGGGGGCAGATAAGAGGAAGTATTCTGAGGCAGAAATTCATGTTTGGCTTTCTCCTACAAAAAGGAGGAAACGTTTGTGGGGGGTTCCAGGAAGCAAGAAAGAAGCCAAGAAGCTCTTGTGACCTATCGATACAGGCTGTCTTTCTACCCCAAGGTGACACTTGTTTTAGGAATTCATTTTATTTTCTGACACCATGACTTGAGGATCACCAGAGAACCACATTTGAGAGGCATTAATTTTATATATAATCATTCTGGTACAAAGAAGAAATTGCACAAGGTAACCTGTCAGGTCCCTTCTGGCTCTAAAATTCTGTGACTGTCTAACAATATAGCTTTTATATCAAGGGATATCAGAAGAGTAAATGAAATCCACACTGTAACCTGTTAACCTCAGATAGCCTCTTGCTAGAACTAAAATTAGTCATCATGTGATAAAGGGCCCCTTTGTCATATTCCTCTGCTTTAAGCAGGTAAAGAAACAGCCCATTGTCAACTAAAGAATACCACGAGAGTTTTCTAAAGGCTTAGAACAGTCCCCTTCTTTTTCTCCAAAACTATTAACTACCAACATACTAAAATAGAATATTTTTATAAATTACATATAGAGTATGCCAGGAAGAACTTAAGAAAGAGAAAACCAATGTAAGAAACAAAATCCTGAAGGAAGGGATACAAAGCCATGTACTTTATAACAAGAAAACACAAAGTAAGACAAAAACCATCCACCTTTTGCAAGGAAAGAGGAGAAAACTATTCTTCTCTGACAAACCTCCCTACCCCTATATAAACTGTCCTGCCTCGTTCTTGGGAGCAGTGATTTCCCTGGCATTTGTTGTTAGCTTGTGTAATCACAATTCTAAGTACATAATTTGCTGTATTTTTTTCACCAGCACAGTAAAAAAAAATCTATATAGCTTCAGTTTTAATGGGGGACTGTTTCATCAATTGGGAGGACACAAAACTAGAGTTTTGCAGTATTTCTTTAGAATTTCTGCTCTTAAATGGCTATTAGAATAACATAAAGAACCTGGGAAAACTAAGTGCTTCCTTATCGCTCATAAGCATGGAAACATGCGGCAAAACGCTCATCCTCTCCCTCTGGGCTTCAGTCTGTCCATTCTCAGTAGGACATTACACGATACGGCATCGAGTTCCCTGCAAAACTCGGGTAACCAGCCATCCACGGGAAGTGGTCGTTAACTCTGTCACTTTATTAATGGAGCCATCGACATATTTTTGCTGAGTCTGTATCCATTCCCCTAAACCCAGTACTGAGCAGGCAGAGAAATTAAATCTCTCCCAATACTTTTGGCAGATTCAAAATAATACTTGGAACACAAAGCTTTTTACATATTTTCAATCATGCCTTTTAATCTATATTATTATCCATCTGAAGACCCATACCTTCAGATCTCATTTTGTATTGGTTAACATGGATTTTTAAATATATCTTAGACATAGCAAAAAAATAAAATATATATATATATATATCTTCAACATAGCAAGACACAGAGATTTTAAAAACATTGTTATTAAAAAAAATTGCTATGCTGAGGCTCCTTACAGATAAAGTAACTTACTTAACCAAAGAAAAATATACAAGAGAGTAGATAGGTACAATCCCCTCTATTTCTTATCCTACACATTCCACTAGTTCTATTATTAAACTTTCTTTTAAAGAGCTACTTTCTCTTTCTGCTTAACAGGAGGATTAGGTTCAAAGCATCATATCTCAAGGATTAAAATAAGGATCTGTTTGAGCTCAAGACCAAAATTTGTTCACAAGTGATTAGTCAGAAAATATAGGGCACTGAAATTCAAGGGGGGAGGAAAATCACCTACCCATTTGAGAGGATATCTATTCATGCTAGGAGACTATTCGCCAATGCAGATGGGAAGACCCCTGCTCAAGAAGTAGGAAACCTGCCAACACGTCAGACCAGAGGCTTGCACTGCTTCATTACCTAGCACCAAACTCTCACAAATGAAAGCAGGGGTAATTGTATCTGACCTTTCTGGCCTAAGATTAAGTTCAGTGACTCTCTACTGATTCAGGGATTGAGTGAACCAAAGGTCACAACCAGGATCATCTAAACCTCTTGATTGCGAAGACTTTAGTTTATAGAATGTAAAGATACTATACTGGTCATTGTCAAGATTGCTAACTTTCTACGGTGTGTTTTCAATTAAGTAAATAAAATGCAGTAATTAAATCAAGATTGTGTAATATGTTTTTGATTTGTAATCTCATTTAAATTAATTAACTGACTCAATCCTTGTTTCGGTTTTAAACCATCCTAGTTAGGGAAAGAGTCCCTGGGAGAAATCCAGTTTTCTATCTTTAAAAACAAGGAAAAGCAATCTGGCATACTTTAAAACTGAAAAAAAAAAAAAAAAGATGCACCAGCAAAATATAAATACAGAGGCAAGGGTGTTAGTGTAGAAGAAGGAGGAGTTTTATGGCATGGTTTTGACTAAAAAAAAAATAGATCTCACACTAGAGAGAAATAAACCAAAACATTATTTATTCAAAACATTTCTTTTCCAATTTTATGAAGATTGCATGTTTGTTGGAAGCAAAACATTTCCAGCTGTATTTTAAGTTTCTGAGGAGAGTTGTAAGATTTATAATCTTTCATAAATGCTGCCCATATCTTATAATATTAGAAGAACACGCCACTGCGTACTTTAGAAAACAATTTGCCAATGCACTCTGCCACATGAAAACAATGAAGCCCTTTCCAAAACCCCACCAGATCCAGGAGGAAAAGATGAGATGAATGTTCTGTCTTTCCCATCTGGGAAACATTGTGGATTTCAGCTATACTATGTAATATACTTTTTTTTCCCCTTGGAAACCACGAAACCTGCATTTTATAGCAAGGTATGTAGTGCAAAGAGAATGCTGGTGAAATATGAATCTGAAAATGAAAACCAGAATGTCATCAGACTCAAGAGCATAATTGTGGAGGCAAATTGAAAAATCAATGCAAAACTTCAACATAAACCAAATGCAACATTTGTGATCCTATTGGTCTGAAATGTTCTCTTAAAAGGAAACCCGGGCACAAAACAAATGCCCTTCACCATCAATGTCCTGAAGAGCACTGGTTACCCTGCCTGGCACAGTAATTCATTATGTGCTTTATTTTCTCCTGGGGTCTTTATGCATCATTCTAAGTCCCACACATAGCACGCTCTGGGTACACGTGGCCCATCTGTGCTATAACATTTCTTGTTGTTTAGTTGCTAAGTCGTGTCCAACTCTGCGACCCCATGGACTGTAGCTCGCCAGGCTCCTCCGTCTGTAGGATTTCCCAAGCAAGAATACTGTATTGGGTTGCCATTTCTTCCTCCAGGGGATCTTCCCAACCCAGGGATCGAACCCCCCTCTCCTGCGTCTCCTGCATTGGCAGGAGGATTCTTTAATACTGAGCCACCTGGAAAGCCCTATATCAATTCTTGTATTTCTCCCAAACTTAAAACAGTATTGTTTATCTAGATTAAAACCAGACATAAGACTTTCTAATATTTTGCTGGCAATCTTTCTTCTCAGGGAAGAGGACATGTTTTCTCACAACTGTTTGGAGAGTCAGAACTCCTGGGTTCCACTCAGTAACCATCAATACCTGTGCTTTGACCCTAAGCAAACCACTTCAGGCCTGAATCACTTTGCATCTTGCCCAGTCACTTAAAACTGAATTTTAAAAAGGTAAGAGCTTTAGCCTTAGTCATTTTCAACAGGAATAAGAGGGAAAAAACTAACTTTATACAACAGTGAAAATATGCATAAATATTTATGCAGAAATACCCTTTTTTTAAAAAAAATATACTTTAAGGTTTAATTTCCCACACTCACCCCCACCCCCCCCCAAAAAAAGCACCTAGCTATTTGTCTTCTGTTTTCACTCTATACTTCCCCTTGAAAACACCAACAACACAGGTAAAGTTCTGTGTTACTAGTGTTCAGGTCTCCTGCTGGAGTGTAAAATTTATGGGGTCAAGATCCGTATTAGCCTTATTCACTGCCTGGCATACAGTAGAAGTCCAATCAATATGTGATGAAAAAAGACCACTCTTTACAGTGAACTGGACCTTGATGGCTGATAGCTCTTAAAATATTTTCATCTTTCTCAAATTATAATTGGCAGTCATCAATCATAATTTTTACTTGTTTGGTTATTATCTACATATAGTGTATTTTTTAGTGTCTGCAAACTCTCCACAAATACAAGCAAATGATACAGTCAATGACCAAAGAGTCATATTATTTTTTCCCGTGCTCATTTTATCACTGGCATATGTTCTTAAAAAGAAATGATTCACTGCAACAGATTTCTCCATTGTTGAAGGTAAAGTATAATTTGCCCAATAGTTAAAATGTTTATATTTAAATAATTACACGAGTTTAGAGAAAAGAAATTAGTGGGTTTTTTTTAACATACCCTACTAGTTGTACGTCATCAATAAGCTTTCCTTGCTTTATTATTAAATCATGGCTCTTGTCTATGATGATGTATTTATATAAAAATAAATTTATATGTTTAATCAAAAGTGCATAATAATTAGCAGAGTAATAGAGTAAGACAAAAGTGATATACTTTCTACCAAGGAACAGTAGATTTGTACATCAGACATTCATACTACTTCTGTTTGTAAAATAACTTTATCATAATATTGGAGGAAGAAAAATCAGAGAAGTCACTTGATGAAACAGGAAGTTTGCAGATGTGGCAGATAATGGTATTAAATGTCCTAACAGTTCCTTGATGAGTGGTTCAAAGAACTTATGTCCCCTTCTTTTCAGACAAAAGTTAATTTACCAGGAATAAAACTACTTGAAAAATACCATCACGTGAACTAACATTTTTCTTAAAGGATAAAATGAGGAAACAAATGAGGAGTTCTTCCTCCTGCAATGAAAATGTGCATGAGAGGAAAGTAACTAAATTTTTTGATAAAATAAAAGCCAAAAAATGCCCAATGAATATGATTTTCCTTCTTTTTTTCAAGACAAGGTCAGAACTATTCTAATAAGGGGAATAATATGTTTGAAAGAACTCTGAAAAGTTTATAACCCAACAGAAATATGATTTGTTATAATTTTATGGGGCAATATTACTTCAAATGATCTTTTTAAGAGGAAAGCTAAAAATGCAGGTAAATTTAACCAAGAATAATAAAAAGCCTATTACAGCAGCCTACCATGGAATCCACTATTCATTACTATGGTTATTTAGAAAATGAGAAAAAATGATGAGCATGTCCACGTGCTTAATCAATTTAAAGAAGGGAATCAGGAGTATAAGGACACAGAGCTGTTGACCATGTGCTCAGAATTCCTTCCATTTTGTCATTTTACTCAGTTTATCTTTAATGGAGATTCAAATGGACTCCTTATGATTCAAAAATCTCTAAGCTAAAGAATATGGAAAAGAACAAGTTTCTGCATAATGTCCCATCCATATGTCTTAGGCCTATATGGTATCAAACCTATGTAATTTCATACATCAAATGCCTTCCAGATGTGACAAAATTTTAACACAGACCAACATCAAGTTTTTCACTGCAGCCTCATCTCCCATGCTCACAAAGATTACTTTCACTGCACATAACACATGGCTAATGTTCGATTTTCCAAATTGATTATTATGCTGCCATTTCAAAACTGACATTGCCATCCAATCAAAAAACAAATTACAAACTCTGCTATATACCCAAACCTCCAAGAAGCAAAAATCACAAAAGAACCAAGAAACCACATCATTATCTTCAAGTTGTAGACACTGCTTGCTTCCAGGAGGAATTGAACTTTTCCTAGTCCATTCTTAATATCTCCAAAAGATGGAGAGGGAGAAGGTGCCTATAATTTTTTGTGAGAGCTACTAACTGGCATCGGAACAATTGAGCCTGTCACCTGTTGTTTTGGGTTTTAAAGACTGGCTCTAATTAGAAAAGATCAAATACTTCCTGACATTTACAGTATGTTAACATTTGAAAATTAACCAACAAGATTATTCATAGAGAATTTTCAAAAGCATCTAACAATAACACTATGATGAAAAGATACAAGCTAAATTTTCCAGTAGGAAAAAATTTAGTTAACTCAATGCCAGTAAGAAGACCTAGTATGATAAGGCTTTGGATAATATCCTGCAAACTTAACTCCTCTCACAAGATCAATGCTTTGAACTCACCTCAATTCCATCCCCCGACCCCACCTCCAAAATCAGAATTGCTATGTAATGGTAGTGTCCTTGGAGACATCCCTCACTCTGTTCCTGTAAATTACATTTCCCAGCTCTTTGACAACTGGCTTCAAGTTAGAGGCACTGGTGGGAGCTGGGAAATGCAGAAAGTGGAAAGAAAGGAGAAGGGGAAGTATCTCTTTCCTTCTCTCTGTTTTAACAAGTAACTCCAAGCAATGGCTGTCTCATTTGTTTTCTAGCTTTCACAGTGTGGGTAACTCTCTCTGTGGTCTCAAAGACTGGCAATAACACACCTTCCCTTTATCCCTCAAGCCTTAGCTGCAGTAGTGGGTTCGTACAGATGCTAATGTCTGGGTTGCCTCTGCCATCTGGCTTTTCACCTATTCTAACATCATTATAACTGGTCTCCCCTATCTTATTCTTTCTAGTGGACTCTGGTAGGAGCCGTATTATTCTGGATCCTGACAGATACATGCGTTTTTTGACATATTCATTACTTTAAAATAGATGTCAGGTAATGGAGTCATCAGTCTTGGATTAGATATAATAACATTTAGAATATTAATAAATTCCAGGTATTTGTTATGATTCTCATTTTAAAAAGTGACAAAGTACTGTCACCATTCAGTACCAAGTATGAAATGCTATACTCCAAAGTTTTTTATAATGCATGACATTAACACATAATCAACATTAAACAAGATTAATTTAACTAATTAGACTTTCAATGCCAAGCTCTAAATCCATCTCTTCCAGGAGATCTGATATTCCCACTCACCTATCCAGGTCCCATCCAGGTGTACCATCTCGGAGTTAGTCTTTCTCTTACCATCTCAGAGTTCGTCTTTCTATTCAACTTTTAACAAATAACATGATACCTGGGTTTTTCCTTGTGTATGTGACTTTCCTACAAACATGACTGTCTGCTCCTTGACTAGATCAATTTATGAGCCTGATTATTTTTATAGAACATTGTACATTTATTTGTCTCATGACACAAACAACTCTGACTTGCTTATCAATTATCTGAATAGCAAAGAGTATCATGTGGAGATAATGAAAAGTCTTAACTACAGACTAACATATATCAATATAAGAAATATATATTCGAATGGTGGCTCAGACAGTAAAGAATCCATCTGCAATGGAGGAAACCAAAGTTCGATCCCTGGGTTGGGAAGACCCCCTGAAGAAGGAAATGGCAACCCACTCCAGTATTCTTGCCTGGAGAATCCCAGGGACGGAGGAGCCTAGTGGGCTACAGTTCATGGGGTCGCAAAGAGTTGGACATGACTGAGCAACTAACACTTTCACTCTCATACTTAAGAAGAGAAATAATTTCAACATTACTCTTTCTCCCTCACTTGACATCCAGCATTTTCACATCAGTCATAAAATAAGGACATGCACAGGTATTTTGTTCAATCAGGACTGCATAATCTATGAGGCTTTACTGGAACACTCCACAAATAGGAGAAAACAAAAATGGTTATGTTTGTATGCACAGGGAAGTATATGCATACTTCTCATAATATCAAAATATCAAACTCACAATATCAAAACTTTGCAACCATGAAGGCAAACAGGATGGATATGCTTGATATGTTACAGTGTGTTACATAACACCCCACTAGAGGGACATGATTATAGGAAATATAAAGCATTAATCCACATGTTGCCGACTTCTTCTGATGAAACTATTAACAGGATGACACTGGTATTCAGCTGCCAGCACTGCCCTGTAATACCATGTCCTTCTGCTTCCTCTCAATCATTCTGAACTCTCCCAATGCTCCCCACCAAAGTTTTACCTTCATGGTTCTCTTGTTTTAATTAATTCTTTTGTTTAATTAATTGGAACATCGTTGCTTTACAATGTTACGTTAGTTCCTACCGTACAGCAAAGTGAGTCAGCTATACGAATCGATATACCCCGGCTTTTCGGATTTCCTTTCCATTTAGGTCGCCACATAGCACTGGGCAGAGTTACCTGTGATATACAGTAACTGCTCATTTATTTTCATGTTCCTTAAACATTATTGTCCTGGTTTGTGATAGTTACCACCAAATGACATACGGAGAGCTCATCAACTGAAAATCATTGTTTATTACATCTTTCTAAACCTGAGCCTGAAATCTATTTAGTCCATCTTTGTCATTTGAGGCAAAATCTGTAAATTTAATTCAATAAATTTTATTGAAAAAAAGAAAATGAGTTATAGTCTAAATAGGCATAAAATGAGCATGAAGCAAGCTGAATAGTAAATTCCACTTTTTCATTTTCCTATTCCTTCCCTTTATTTCAAATGAGAAAATTCTAGTACAAGGAATAAGCCAAAAGAAAACCTCCATAACATGACAGTAGACATACTGCATAGAAGTTGAAAACTACAAGAATAATGTTGAGACCACGAGCTAGAAACAGTCCTTGAAATTCTCTAGAAACATGGATGAGGGGCAGGAAGCCTAATGCCAAATATAAATGAATCTAAATGTTAAACAG